AGTCATTGCCTATAAAAATATATATATAATTAATTAAAATTAATGTATTGTTAACAAATAATTACAACTTTGTCAAATATCACACAGAGAGAATTTTCTCTTAAAACCCCTGAAAATCATGATAATCATGAAACAATATGGTACTGGAAGAATTTTATAAGAGTTTCTCTGATTAATATTTACCACAATAAAAATATTAATATTTAGAATATAATTATTTATATTTAGATTATTATTATTAAATATTAATCTCTATAATATATATAAGATATAAAATATGCTCGATTAATTTTACTATGTACATATTAATATTATATATTGTGGTAAATATTAATTAGAGAAAGTCATAAAAAAATCAAGGTGTCTAGCAGTCAGGAAAATCTGAAAAACCGGGCATTGTCAGGGAATTTTATAAATCTGGAACTTGTCAGGGAAAAGGAAAAGTCAGAAAATTTTACTGTTTATCTGAATTTTTTCACATTATTCTACATTTGTCTCAATAATTTGAAATTTTTAATAAATAAATATGAACTTTTTCTTGACTCCCAAAAATCGATTCATCTACAGCGTGTTCGTTAATTTATATTTTGATCGTCGTGTTATTTTACTTCAATATGTTTGATAGAGGCAAAACTAAAAGATTTGTTATAATATAAACAAAAAAGGTGATTATTTAAATAGCTTGTAGTTCCATATTTATTTCGATTATCGTAACATTGAATCGATTTATCATATAGATCTATGCAATTATGTATTTGGAAAAAATAATACTAAAAAGTCAGGGAAAAAATTCATTTCTGGTATCAGAAAATCTAAAAAAGTCAGGGAATTTTTGTCATTGAGTCTGCTGGAGACACCTTGCATATTATCCATGATTACCATGATTTTCAGGGTAAATTAGAGAAATGTTCTGCGTGCATTAACACAATATTTACCTTTAATTGAATGAAACGGCCGTTTTAATTACAGCAATATTCTTGCTTTCCCAGGAGGCCGTTGCAACGTTCCCATTTGTTTACACGATATCCTGGTCCTAAAACGTTGCACCAGTCGCCAGCTGAGTGAGCATGGCATCCTGTCCAACGGCATTCAGCCTCGACCATAGACACCATCATTAGCCCAGCGATAGCCAACATGCACACCACAAGCATCAGTTTCAGAGCCATTTTTAATTGTGAAGTTTTAGAGCTTATTAACCGTACTAACCGATGCCAGCATCTTTCACTGATATTTATACAAATCTCGGATAAGTGGAGAACCAATAAGCGAGAAGGATAACGCAATCAATATCATTATTTACTCATTTCTTGGAATTGATAAATGCTGTTGTTTTTAAAGCGGTGGAATTTTTCCGTTCGCAATATATTATACATTTAAAATAGAATTACACGAAAAGAAGTTTAGAAAAAAAATGCTGATTATACTGAATAATATAAGATATTGTATATTTATCTTAAAAGCAGTATTGATTTGACATTTAATCACCATTGATCTAAAATACAACGTCATATTATTTTTATTATATAGTAGTGTCATTCGGTCTGGTGTGAGTAAGAAATAGCAAAAAGTCAAGGAAACGAAGTAAATAAAATTCCCCAGTGACGTATGCATCGTGCTCTTTTCCTCGTTGCAATTTGAAATTCAAGCGAAACATAAATTCATTTTTTTAATTATTGTAATTATTATTCCATTTTCCTTTATTGTAACGTCATAATCATTTTTAGATTTCTAATCAAGTTTTTAATTGCAATCTGATAGCAATAATAAAAATGCGTCATTGTAATGTTTGTGCCACTAGATAATTTATCTTAATCTTCTCTGATGAAACTGAATCAATAATCAGTTGGATATTCAAGAAATGTTGCATGATCTGAAAAAATCAAACAATTTAAACATTTTATTTAACTCTATATTTTTTAAGAATGAGAAATATTTACATTTTGTTGAATAATAGTTTCACTCAAAATTGTAGCATGGTCTGGCTCGATTTTGGAATATCCAACGACAGTTGAAAATTCATTATTTTCAATAATGAAAAAGTAGTAACAGTAAAATAATGAACTGAATCATGTATTATTCATTAATGGTGATGATTATGATCAATTCAATGGTTTTATATATGTCATAGGCCAATGGTTATTTTCAGCAAATGATTTTTGACTAGTCAAATGGTTTTTGTCTCTTTTCAAATGCTACTTTCCTGGTCAAATGTTATTTTGTTAAGCAAATATACTATTTGATAGACCGCTGTTATGCAAATGGTCATGCATTGATGCATTTCAATATTTGTAAGGTCATGGTTATGTCAAATTCAATTTCGTCAATTTTAAAGTCAATTTCGCCAATTTTAAAGTCTTATGAACAGTTTTTTTCTTTCATTGTTATTTATTAACGATACTCTTCTTCGGCAAACGCACAATAAAGTTATTCTTCGTATAATTATCATGCAAGTATCATTTATTATACTGCAGATCTGCAGTAATTTATATGTTTTGAGATATGGAATACTATTTTCTTTACTTGAATTAATATTTCAATACTCATTATTTTCTCTCAGTCCTCGATATTTCATGTAATAAATGATATTTGCATGATAATTATACGAAGTAAGAATAACTTTATTGTTCTGTCAAATAGTATTTGCTTAAGAAAATAACATGTGACCAGGAAAGTAACATTTGACTAGTCAAAAGCCATTTGCTGAAAATAACCATTGGCCTAATACGACATATATACGAGGTATGAAGTAAACTTTTTATACAGTTTTCAAGTTAACATTTTTATATCCAAGTAAAGACTCTTTTTTAAAGTAGTAAAAAATGCTTTTAAACTGTTAACTTTCTATCGAGGAAAAAAAGCGATTAAAATGTTAAAGAGCATGATATAGTAATTAAACGTTTTTTGCAAAGTTGAATAGCAGTAGATAAAGTCATCGTCCATTGCATTTTTGAAATGGATGGATGAATGACTGATTTTATGAATCTAATCGAGCGAATTTATGAAAGCAGATTATAAAATCAGTCATGATTAAATATTCTATTTGAATTTTCGCAGATCGATTTTAAGTGAAGGCATTATTTAATGTACATATATGTGAAAAAGTCATTTCACTTTCAACTATTTTTAATTTTTTTTTTCGTTTTTATATTTAAGTCAAATATGATACGTTTTGTTAGATTTTAATATATTATATTAATTTAAATATTTTTTATATTTTATTTTATATTTAAAAAATATTAAAATATTTTTATATGTTCAATTAACAAAATAATATTTAGTCGAAAGATTTTAGCCAAGTTAACAAATTTTTTTTCAGTGCACGATATGCGAAAAGTATACATCGGCGAGAAATTATTTATTCCAAAGCAAACGAATATTTGCAAAAATTTAGATTTGATTAGAAGCAGAATACTTTCCTCTTTTTTTTTATTCTTGAACTGAAAATTTACACAAGGATGTAATCTCGTTATCCATTGGAAACATTATCGATGTCTCGATAATTTCTCATCATTTCAAGCATTTTTCAATAATCCAGATATCAGTGAAAAGAAAAAGAAAAAAACATGTCTGGTGCTGACGAGCAGAGAGTTCGCGATCTTGGATCCGGAAGTAACATTTTATTCCGTCGAGATTCTATAATGAATCGCGAGTCGCAATTATATATATATATAAGTATAAAGCGTAATTACGCGACATGCAGTGACAATTTTCTCTCTTTTTCCGGAGAAAAATCGCGTTGCCTCCTTAGTTCGCGGAATTTTTGCGAGCGCGAAACAGCGAGTATTTTGCAATTAAATACCGTTTAATTCCGCACGGTGGTGCGGAAGAATACCGGCGATTATCCGCTCCGCAAATCACGGTCTTTGCGTTCTTCTCGCGTAGCTTGTCATTAATTTTATATGGCTTAAAGAATCTCGTTAATTCCCTTTGCATCGCATAATAATATATACGTCATTGCTCACGCAAAAATTATATTTTTTACGCTTTTTTTTATAAAATATCAATGTCTTAGAATTATTATATTTATTATATGTATATATTTTATTTTATATATTTATTATATTATTTTTATTTTTATTATATATTTTTATTTGTTTTTAAATAGGCAAAAAAATTTTTTTCAATTTTTATAAATTAATCTATCCAATTTTTTATCATCATTATTTATTATATTATATTTTATATATTTTTATTATACATATATATTTATTATATTATTTTTTTTGTTTTTAAATAAGCAAAAAATGTTGTTCAATTTGTATAAATTAATCTGTCGAATTTTGTTCTAAGGTCGTTTACAGACGCTCGAAGAAGAATGCTCATATAGCTGTCATATATCTCTGTCTGAATATGCGACATTTCCTTTCTCGTCACACGAATTACAGGACGGCACATTGATTATTGTGTGGTTGTAAAAGGCATTGATGTATTCGACGTGCACACATCACAGAGAATCGGCTCGTACGCCCGCCCGGATAATATTGACAAGCTGAATAGACTATTACAGTCGGTTGTATACGACTGTGTAACGTCGTCTGTTTTGTCCGCGTGTCTTTTACACGACAACGAAATACGTAATCTCGCGAAATTTCTCAGCCCTAAAGACTTTGCGCAGCGAATTCCAGCTGGATTCTTTTTCTTTTTCCGGACACTTCCGGTGTAGGGTACGCGGTTGCTGCGCATGATGCAGAGAAAGAGAGTTGGATTTAACACCCAGAGTTTGTCTTCATATCTCGTTATCGTATATTCATCATCAAATTCCGACAAATTATAATTTGCACACAGGCTTGAAAACAATTTTGTTATTTCAAATTCTCGCCGCGGTCATCTTGTATTGTGACGTCAGAGGCGAGAAAACACATGCTGAAGATTCTTAGATGCCATTTTTAAATGTACCAAATTTTGGTCGAGCTTGTGTGTAAATTGATTCAGCCATAATAAATTATAATATTAATTTTTGTGAAAAATTGCAAAAGTAACGCATGCTTTTATCTTTGCAGGCCTAGCCCGGGTGGTGTCGGGGACGGCGTTCAAGGAGTTCGCGGAAAGGGTCTCCCGCACGTGATTTACTGCCGACTCTGGCGCTGGCCGGACCTGCAGTCGCACCACGAGCTGAGGGCGATCGAGCACTGCGAGTACGCCTTCACCCAGAAACGCGACGAGGTCTGCGTGAATCCTTACCATTATCAACGAATACAAACGCCAGGTACACCAAGGCGGCTACGTATACATCCAAGTCTTCATTATATAACTCCTTTCCAGCTAAAAGGCTGATGTTCGATTGTATCGTTTTATATCACTCCACGAATGCCGTTGTTTTTACATTTGATTACCAATTGGTACGAATGGTTACATTTCATACCCAATTTTTTCTACAAAATGGTATTCCGGTATAGGAAAAACTATATGTATCATGGAAAAGTATCTCCATTTTTTCTCTTACATCATTTACTTTACACGTTCAATAATGGATACTATTGTTTTTACATTTGGTTACCAATTGGTACCAAAAGTACCAATTTACATTTGGTACCCATTTTTTCTACACAATGATATTCCCATAGGAAAAACTAAAAAAAAATTAAAGTTATGCTGTACAAGTCAACACTATGTAACACTATGTCATACAGTGTTGACTATGTTCCGTTGTTTGGAAAGCATTTTATTTATCATGGAAAAATATCGCCATTTTTCTCGTACACCATTTCCTTTACACGTTCAATAAATTCTTTTGCTCGCGCGCGAGCAACAATGTTGTTAGTATTTATAGCGAAGGTGAAATTGATATATGTACATCAACTTGTCTCTTTGTGAGAGAAAAGCGGCGATACATTACTCAAATTACCGTTCTCTCTCTCTTTCTTTCTCCATTTCCGTTTCTCTTTTCCCTGTAAAGGGCCGTTAATCGGCCGTTACAATCGTATAAGTATAGCGAGGCTTGGTGGAATCGCGTGACCTAATCGCGGCGCACGAAACTTTGCAGTTTTGCCGGCCATTCTCGTGCCGCGGCACAATCTAACCAGCGACGAGAACACCACCGTCCTCTACAACACCTCCCTCGAGGAGCTCAGCGTCAGCGTGCCGGAGAACACGAGCTTCCACGCGACCCTAAATCACCAGCATAATCAACAGCAGAACATACCGCAGTCCCCGCAACAGCAGCAACAACCAAATAATCCGTACCAAGGAATGCAGGTCAGTAGCTGAATAGCGGACTGGTATATTTTACGATTTGCGATACGGGCTGCGTATGAATGACGGATAATTCCAAGTAGATTAGAAGTGAGACATCGGCGACTATAAATTCTGATAAACGAGACACGTCGCTCACGATTATCTACGTTTCAGAGTATGCAGGCAACGAGTCCGGCGAGTGTCGGAAGTCTGGGAAGCGTGCAGGGCTCGCCCCATCCCGCCCCAGGATCCATGGATCCACCGGCAGATACGCCACCGCCTGGTTACATCAGCGAGGACGGCGACAACATGGACCACAACGATAACATGTCTCTGTCACGCCTGTCGCCGAGTCCCGTGGACGCGCAGCCGGTTATGTATTGCGAGCCCGCGTTCTGGTGAGGATGATTAATGAACAACATTGCGTATCGCGCCTCCAGACACGGAAGACACACGGAGGACAGACTAAAGACTCTCGCATATTTTATATGCGGGATAAAATTAATGATAGAAATAAACAGAGAAAGAGAGATATCAGATAATTGTGGAGAAGATCGATTATTAAGGATCCTCGCCGCGGTTATGTTGGATTGTGACATCAGTTGTTTAAAATACTTAGAAAATTATTCTTTTCCCTCGACAATCAATCAACAACCGTAAAATGATCGTGATATCAGATTTTTTTATACGGAATGATTGCGCATATGCAAAGAGCAGACGGACTAAGCTTCATATTACAGCTTCATAATTAATTTTCCTGTTGATTGATTGTAAATGGAAAAGAATAGTTTTTGAGGTATTTTAAGAATGTGCTAAAGCCATTTGAAGTGACGTCACAATTCCAACTTGATCGGCGAGGAGGCAGGAGTCTTAATGTAAGAGAATATCGCAGAAATTCATTTTTTTTGTTTTTCATCTTCTTAATCACGCCACGTAATGGCGCTTGGTTTAATACGTACTTCCGTTTTGTCGTTGCGCTAGGTGTTCAATTAGCTACTACGAGCTAAACACGAGAGTAGGCGAAACGTTTCACGCGTCGCAGCCGAGTATAACGGTGGACGGCTTCACCGACCCGAGCAACTCGGAGCGCTTCTGCCTCGGCCTGCTGTCCAACGTGAACCGGAACACGGTGGTCGAGCAGACCAGGCGACACATCGGCAAAGGCGTCAGGCTCTACTACATCGGCGGCGAGGTCTTCGCCGAGTGTTTATCCGACTCGAGTATCTTTGTACAGAGCCCTAATTGCAATCAACGTTACGGCTGGCACCCGGCCACCGTTTGCAAAATACCGCCAGGTAAGTGTGTTTCTTTTATATACATATATGCTTCCTGAGGATATGTTTTCTCTTTATTTGCTTTATAATTCAATCGGAGGAATTACTTAAGAATTGAACATTTAATCCATTCCTATATTAATTATTTGGTTTTCATTATTTTATCATATTCTTTGTTCTTCAACATTTTATAATTGTTAATAAAATACTTATTTATCAAATTAAAATGTAATAAATGAAATGCAAAAAGAATGAAATAAAATAAAACAATAATTAAATAATTTATTTTAACATACAAAAATATAACGCGAGAAGAGTATAACACATTTGTATGCATTCTACTGCATTAGGATAATTGAAGATTAATGAATTACATTTTAATTCCTGCATTTTTCTTTTCATCATTCTCCGGGTGTATATTTTTTCAATCCCTCTTGGATTTTGATTCAAAAAATTGATTTTGTCTGTTGGCTTCCAGGATGTAACTTGAAGATCTTCAACAACCAGGAATTCGCGGCGTTGCTGTCGCAATCGGTGTCGCAGGGCTTCGAGGCAGTGTACCAGCTGACGCGTATGTGCACGATCCGGATGAGCTTCGTGAAGGGCTGGGGCGCGGAATATCGCCGGCAGACGGTCACCTCGACTCCTTGTTGGATCGAGTTGCATTTAAACGGGCCGCTCCAGTGGCTCGACAGGGTACTCACGCAGATGGGCTCGCCTCGTCTACCCTGTTCCTCGATGTCCTAAGTGTTTTGCATCCTCCTCGTACGTTTTGGATGGAAGAACACGTGAGAATATATATCTTTTATGCGCTGTCATCGTCGTCGTCGTCGCCGTCGATCGGCTTGTCCTTTATCATTGTGTACAATACGTGTGAAAATTTAACTTGTTCAGATTTCCTCGAACGATCACTGCACACAGTGAGACGCAGGAGAAGAAAAAAAGAGGCATACGAAGAAGCTGCTAGCAAGGCTTAGCAGCAGTTTGGGGAAAAAGAAACAGTTCGGGCACAACGGATATATCGAGTTTTCCGCGTCGTAGCAGTGGCTTTCTCTCAAATGTCGTGCAATTGAGCAACAACGGGGACGACCACGGCGTAAACGCGCGAGCAAAAGAGTGCGATTGAAGAGCGACGAGTCGCTTGCGCGCGACAGTATAAATATCATAGTAAATATAATAAAGCTTGTGTTTTACCACACATATACACGTACACAACGCGCGCGAACACAGACACACACACACACACACACACACACACGGTTTGTTGTGATGAGAAGAGAGGAAATACGGAGACACGCGGAGGACGCGAAGAGATGCCTCGACTCATTTATATCGCGGGCATCGTGTACCGCAATTGGCGTACAAGATATATCCAGGGTGATCATAATCCGAGTTTAGTCGATTCGTGTATAAGTAATAAAAAAACGAGAGTGATATTTATATATATAAATATATGTATATATGTACCGCGCGCTAATACAGAGCTCAGTCTTTTACATATTTTTATTGCTTATTAAAGCAGACACAACTATTACAATCGTTGTATTACAGTATACGCCAGATCTTTACGAGATACATTATATAATATACATTAATATATTATGTATGTGCGTGTGTATGTATGTATGTGTGTGTATGTATGTATGTATGTATGTGTTTGTGTGTGTGTTAAAATTTCACTAGCTTGCGCTATGGAATCTATTTGAATATTTTATAATATATCCATAAGTGTACACCCAAGAACACACAGACACACACATACACATGTATATATACACGTATCTCATTTCACGATATTTGTTATGGAAGATCACGATAGCATATATACCGGTAAGAATATTTAAAATTTGTTGCGTCATCGCATAAGATTTTCCAGTACGCAACGTAACATTATCTGTGTCTATAAAATTTACATATATATCAATGATATATATTTTTTCTAGTGAATTATAAAAATTACATTATATACGACTCACTCTCGAATGTACATTTAATGTGATCGTTTATGACATTTTAGCACAGTGAGTACATTCACCCCAATTGTTATGTATGTTTCCTTTAATGACAAGTGTAAACAATTTTTTTAAATGCAAGATTTATGCGTATGAAGAAACTTTTTAATATATATTATTTAATATATTTAATTTATGTTGTATTTTCTATATATATATATATATATATATTATATATATATACTCTCTTTTACTCTGTTTGGATCCGAAAAATAAATTTTGCTTTGTTTAACGATGAAGGTAACTGCGTACCTAAATTGTTGCGAGTACAGTAGGACCTCTAAATTGGCCATCCGTAACTTTGCTATTCCTAGTATTAGTTTTTCCTGTATTCTTTCCACACGTACTTTCATCAACACTAATGTTATGCCATCTTCATGGTATATTATAATAAGCAGTTGCTTATGGTAAGAGTACCTTATTATTTTTTTCTTTTTTTCAGAAATTTCCTCTCATTCAGTCTCATGCTGTCCAAGTTATAGAGGTCCTACTCTGTACCTAAATGTCTTCTTATTCTTTTTATCGCTTCCGACAATGTGAAATATTTAAAACGTAAGGCTGAGCCTTACACCGGTCTTACATATGCGAACAAAAATCGGCCGTTCATGTACTTGCTTTAAAAATATTGTTATATTGAAAAATTTTTAATCCTCTTATATTATAGTTACCAATAGAAACCTGCCATAATTCATCATCCTCACACACATGTACACACATACGCACACACATCTTACCTTTTAAGGTATAAATATTCTATAAAGTCATAAAAGTTCGAGTTTTTAAATCTTTTACGTCTGCTGTCTTTCCGTATTCCTATCGATGGATTATATCCCATCAATAACATCAATTCCCAGTGTTTCAAGAAGTGAAGTCTCAGGAAGAAAAATGAAAAATTCACGAAAGGAATTGACGACACCCCACTAAGCCGGCTAAACTCAACTCATGAAATTCTGTGTTACCCTGTCAAGAAATTCTGGAGATGCTTTTCAAGATACGAAGCCTATCGAAGAAACTGGAATGTGGAATGGCGAATTATTACGTTCCAAAACTGAGTGGAATAAAAGACAAATGGCTAGGATGATAATAATAATAATACGTAATAAATTTTAAGTGATATCGAGACCACTAAAAAATGATTTTATTGTGGCACAGAAAGATCTTATGCGAAATTTACGCTTGAATTTTCTTATCGGCTATTAATCTTCAGTACGAAATATAAAGCGATAAATCCTTAAATTGTCACGAGTTGAAAAGAATATCATTTAAACGAGCGATTCGAAGAAAGATTCCTCTTCATTGACAGCGTCGTTTACGTTAACTGCCGCGTTTCCTTTACACATATCACATATTTATTGCGATGATATTTACTATAGTATAATATAATTCAAGTATCTCTACTCGCACCACTTTATTTTAACTAAAATCGAAGACGTTAAATAAAGCAATGATTTTTTTAATAGAATGAAATTACAACTGATTATTTTAATTAATTATTACTCTCTTTTACGGAATCTTTGTTAAATTGTAGCCCAAGATCTTTTTTAATGCAAATGTCATTTTACATGTATAAGAAATGATTTTTCTTTTAATCAGAAAATGTGCGATTCTGAATTTTGCGATCTGTCGCGAATTACTCTAACATTTAATATATTATTTGCGAGTCATCGTTTTATGTGATTAACGATCGATGCGAATATGTGTTGATGGTTTTAGATATATTGCTAAAGTGACGACGACGATGCGTCGATCAAATCTTTCGGCGCAAGTGAGAGAACCAGATAAATGTTAAAGAATAAATTGTATTACGTTACCTATTTTGGCGCCAGGGCTGGACGTAATATTTTCAACAAATATATGATATTTCGAATGCAAATAACGCAAGTAGCTCTATCGTATTAAACATCAGATTATGCATTGAAAAAAATTATTCAAATATTTATTCCAATACTATCTTATAAATCATTTTAAACTAATTTATAATATTAATTTGATATTTGTGAAAAAATATTTATTTGATATAAGAAAATCCTTTTCAAAACAGATAAACATTTGTTTCAAATAAATGATTTATATGGCAGTATTGAAATATAAATGTTTTTTCAGTGTATGAGATACTTGTATATGTTGAGCAACAAGATACTTGTGAGTGTATTGGATACAAGATACCAAATACCAACCAAGTATTTTGTATCTAAAATTATTCATGTCGTTTACAAATATTTAAAAGAGTTGTCCAGTCCTACGTTCCAATAAGAATTTATATGTACGAGGGGAAGAGGCGATATATGACTTGTAGTGAGATAGAAGAAAATTGAAGGAAAAAAAGCACATACAGAATAAGTGAGAGCATGAAAGAAATTAAGAAAGCTAAGAAAACAATTATCCAGATTGTATCGCCACTTTGTAGTTTAATTCCTTAGATAAGCGTGCTGGGCTTTCACAGAACATCTTTCGATATTGCAAATTAAATGGATTACAAATGACTATTAAAAAATAGAGTAAAGTTTATTTTCTTGTAATGTATTGTCGCGTACGATCGATTTTAAATATTCTGTCGCTTATAAATATTTGCCTGCTCGTAGAATTTATAACTCGAAATAATTTTAGAACCTTAAGATGAATCAATTTGGCTCACATATTTTATAATACAAAACTTTTTAAATTTTTACATTTTTAGAAAAAAAAAGAAAAAATATGAAAAGGCGAATATTTATGAGCTAGTCTGTCTTTTTATACGAGATGACAGAAAGTGACGCATCCGTGAAAGCCCATTACATATATCTCAATCGTTGGGCAGCTCGAATCACACATTGATATCGAAAATGGTTTACTTTCTCATTTTTGCGAAAAATAATTCGTTGATGTCTCCATCCTCGCGTTATCATTCAACGAGCCTAGTCGGCTTCGACTTCGCGGCACATATATAATAATTAAAGAACACTATGGAATTGATATGTCACGTGTTTGTAACTGTCAAAAGCTGACTTGACAGATACCTCCTCGCACACATAGACTGCCATTAGAATTATTGTTAAGAGAATATAATTACAGATATAGAGAGAAAAGCCGAGAATGAGACTCGCCACTTATCCTTTTCCTCCTTCGACTCTGCTGTTTTATCCGATATTATTATATATATTCGATTCCCTAAAACTAAGATGAAGCCATATCATTCGATATTATCGCATTGTAATCCCGCAATTTGTAATATCGCATCAATGTACTCGGAGCGTTTTATCTCTGTCACTTTTCATCAAGAATAAGGAAAAGTGGCTCGTGATAAAAGTTTAATATACACCCTGTGTATATTTTGACATATCAATTATCCTCGCGCAATATTACAAATGTCAAGCGATCATTGTGCAATGATATCGTTCGTTGTATGGGGTTGAAGAAAAAAAGAGAGAGAGAGAGAGATAACTGTGATACAGAGCCGCGCCCAGAGGAGCAGATTTTTTATACGCAAACTTGCGATTTTATTTTGATCCAATGATAGATTTAACTTAAATATTATTTAAATAAAAAACAAATTTTTTCCCCCTTTTTTATTTCGAAAATAATGAAATATTGGCGAATAATCGAATTTTTCTCTCTTGAGAAATTAAATTTTTGAATTCCTGGTCTTCCCTGGCCCCCAAAAATGATGCATCATCGCGAATATAAAAAAATGTTTCCCTTTTATGTATCTTCAGCAGGATCAATTATTCGAAAATGTATAATATATATATATTCTTCTATCTAAATGAAATTTCTCGAATCGAGCGGCCCGACGATCGCGGGTTTTTAATTCTATATACATATACATATATAAATTACTTGTATACATATTTCTTGTATGTATGAATAGTCATGTCCATGTGAACAAAATGCAAAAATGAAATAAACGAAAAAATGAACAACTTTATGTATAAAAATCCAAAAAGGAAATCGTTCTATATCTGACAAAATTCGATTTTTGCGATATATTTTCATTTTTTTTATTTTTGCAACATAGACATGACTTTTTATGAAAATACGCAAACGAAAGAGTGCGAAAAGAGAGAATGAAGAAGAGAGTACAGAAAAGTGGAATATCGAGCCTGAGACTGTATAATAATTATGAATAAATGTACACGTTAAGAGACTAAATGAGGGAGAAAAAGAAAGAGAGAGCTGTCCCAATGTTTCTTTTTATAATATTATTTATATTATATTATATTATATTAATTTCTCTCGTTACACGGTGTTGCACAACGATTTTGCTTTCTCGTTATATAGTTTCTCAACACTTCTTCCTTTCTCTGCAAAAGTATGTAAGCATAAATCTTGCATTCAAAGATAAGTATCTCTTGGCTAATTGAATCAACATTTTATTAAAAACAATGTGATTAATCTTACAAATGCTCTGAGATGGCACATATACGATTATACAAGTGTAAATTTATACAACGATACATATATATATATATAATTCTGTAGCACGAAAAGTTTGTCATCATAAAATC